TAAACAAACAAAAAAACCCTCCACCAAACCCCCAAAACACCAGCAAGAGAAGTCACATAGAAACTTGCCTTATGGAAACTCCCATGACACGTTTAAACTTCTGGAAGGAATTGCATAGGCAACATTCATCCTCTCATCATTCACGCTTGCAGACATTATACCCTGTGTACCATGTCACATTTTTTTGACTTAGATCCACCTTTCTACTTCAAGATTTTGGTCAACATAGTGCCAGAATATATGCATATAAAACTTAAGTATACGCATAAATTGCAAAAAAAACCCCAAACCCAAAACCATTTAAATGCCACACAAGACAAGAATCTGGATCAACTATTCAGGAGAAAGCCAGGTGAGTTATTTCAGTTGTTACAGAAATCATCATATGTTTAAAAATATTAGATCTTTAATAGAGTTTTCCAGCAGCACTGGAACTCATCCTTGTATTTTTCTGTTTGTACAGCTTGATGCTTCCTTTAAGATCTCATACCTAGGACTAGGATTATTTCTGTTTCAGCTTTAATATACTTGTAAAATCCATCAGGTAACCTGTAACATATTTGGTCTTATTTTGACTTGGGTAGATCAGCAAGATTAGGAGAAAAGGTAAGAAAAAGGTATGGGGCTAAACACAACTTGTGAGGTAAATTATAAGGTGTACTGCATCATTATCATAAGAAAAAAATGCTTGTACAAGCCTCTCAGTTTACACTGTCACCCTCTAGGCCGTCAGCTTATGATTCAAGATGATTAAAATGACCAAATATTAGACAACGCATTTTGCCTGCATGTTGCACCATTTAAATACTTGTTAGCAACAGAAACTACAGGGAAATATTCCTTCCTCTAGGACTTTTAAAATTTGTGTTGCTACACAACACATAGCACCTTGCCACCCCTCAACAAGGACAGACAGAATACTTACTCTTCTTTCATTAAGAAGTACTTTTAAGGTTTATGGATGAAACACACAACAGAAATGCCAGGTCTGAGTATTACTGTAGATCACTTGGATTTTATAGGGGAGTTGCCCTGTTACTAATTTTATCTCTTTTGCTTGCTTTTTGCCATCTGATGAAGGCTTGTTTCTGTATCACCTAGCAACAATGTCACAGAGACCAGGAAAAGCGAAGGCTGAGCAACTGAGGTAGTGTTAAACCCTTGGGAGCTCCCACCCCTCAGCTTCTTAGCCAGCTACTGAAGTAATCCTTCAGTAAGCAGGGAGTCTGCACACTGAACACAAGCCTGGCTAGCTTTGAAGCCTTCTTTTGTTATATATATATACAGACCCACACACACATCCTGCAGAACTTTGAATTTTCTCTCTCTGCTCCCTGACACATTGGAGTTTGTCCCTGAAACACCAACCTGGAGCAAAGTAGGGGATATCCTGCATTTTTTTGAGAAACCACAGCCAAAATCTTCTGCACTACTATTTCAGAGGGGCCAGGTAAGAGATTTTTACCTTTATGTCTTGACTTCAAGTCACACAGATGTACTTCGGCTGTTCTAAGATTCTCTGTTTTCTTCCCTGAGTAAGATGACCAAACAGAGAGAATGAAAGTGGGGAACAAAATCACAACCCCTTAAAGCAAACTAAACTGTCTAATTTGATTTAAAACCAGATATAATTAATATTTCTAAACTTAGAATAGATTTGTATCCTCTTTTTGTGAAACTCTTAACTAGACTTCATATAGAACTGCTATAGCCTTTGCAATAGTAATCCTACTAAAATAATTATAACCTCAAACACTTAAAAATCTTGGTCGTATAATTTTATGGAACATCCAATTAAGATTTATATATGGATTATATATGGATTATTTTGTTATTTTTCCATAAGCATTTATCAATGTGAAGAATATTTTAAAGGCAATTCAGCAAGGTTGTCTAATCAGTTCTATTTAAAAACAAACCAACAAAAAACCCACACACAAAACTCCCCATTCTTACAAAGCACATGGAAGTCCTGAACACTGCAGCCACAGGGTCTTTTTAAACCTTATTCTGACTGTAGAGCTGATTATCTAACTTTTTGTCTTTGATTTAGGTACACAAAGTGACTTTTAAAACTTAAATTTTATTTTACCTAATTTAACTAAATTAGCGTCTACATTCCCAGTTCTTACAGCTCTGGCCCCAAACTCAGGTATTCAAACAGCTGCCTATATTGCTAAATCCCACAAACAGAGAAAAGTGTATCAGCAGCAGTATTATCACAGCTGAACACAGTAAAACCGATATAGTCTACTTACTGCTATTAAAGGCCTTCTGGTTTATTTAATCTACATGAATTACATAAACATTAAATATGCTTCTGCAACTATTTGTAAGAACCTTAATTGTATACATTTGCCTATTCTACTGGAAGTTGCCTTTGTTACGGGGAGATGTTGCTTATTGGCCAAATTTTTATTCCATATGCATGCTCTTTTAAAAACCATACAATCATTCTTTATCACATGTGAGTTGATGTTGTAAACTTTGTACTTTAAAATACATGTGAGCAGAGATTAAAGATAACGTCTTGTAATTTTCCACGTATTACTAATTGTTACCTTTATATATAGTCTATAGGTAGACTGTATGAATACATATTTTTGTCTACCTATAGGCTGTAAAGATGCATTTTCTCACTATAGTTATCTGCATATATGATGGGGTACAAAGATGTACAGAACTGTGTAAGATTTCCAAGGAATCCAGAGTCCTAGGAATTACTTTCTAGCTACAAAGGCCCTATACATCTATGATCGCCAGCCTAGCCCAGAACTTAAAAACGTGAAGAACACAGAAGTTACAGATCTTAGATGGGAATGACCTTTTCATGTCATGGTTTGGAGAAAACACGGTTTAATAGAATAGTTAGAGAAGGTAGCATATCAGCAGTGAAAAGAGCAGATCACTCTGCTATTACCATCACAGAATCCTTAAAAAAAAATAATTCTTAATTAAAAAAAAAATTCTCCTGTACTTCCAATTTCATCTTTAACTTACTTTGCCCTATGATCTCTGCAAATGAATGCAGTGACCACGCAGACTGGGTCTTAATACAGCCTACCTTGGAATGAATCAAAATAAATTCTGAAATGACTGGAAGGCTTGCACTGTAACTCCTAATAGGAGCTTCCATACCAGCAATAAAGGACAACAGGTCAGCTCTCTGTACAAGGAAACAAGGTCTCTTAATACATCAAAACAAGCTTGTACAAAATCATCTTCTAAAAATGCACAGAAGCTTAGGAAGGGAGAGCAGGTGGCAGAAAAGGTGCCCAGATTACATAAGGAAAGATTGAGAAACTGTTTTTCTCCACATGCAATATATTTAAGATGGGTCTGACAAATTGTATTTGTCAGCTGGCCCTAGTACACAGGACAGGTAGTGAAAGACAAATAAATAAGCATTAAAAAAGAACAGTGATATAACACTAATAACACAGTACTAGATATCCTTCAGTACATCAGTCATTGCAAGCTTTAAAAAATGTGTCACATTACTAAGGTTTCCATGCATGCTGTTATGACAAATGATTTAACTATCGCTTCTCTTTCCAACCGTCAGCCTTAGCTAGAACCTAATAATGCAGTACATGAACAGCTAGATACCTCAGCTTGACATCATGGGGTTGGTTTTCTTTTCCCTTTCAACTAGGTTTTTCTCTTTATACCCAACTCCTGTAAGTAAGACCAATTAATTCAGTCTTCAGGTAAATGTTTACACATTAAAAAGCAAAGCCTCGAATAAACACAGTGTATCTCAAGTTTGTGGTAATTTATTTGTGAGTTATTCTCAAGCAATGTTACAAAACATTTTAATGTCTTGATAAGAAAATAAAATTTAAATAAAAATACATTCAACAATACATCATCATAATACAAATTAAAACTAATGATAATTTACAATCCTAACAGAATTACTGATTAACATCATCTTTCAAGACTAATCAAAATGAAGGCAATTTTTATTATTAATCATTCTACTCGTACCTAATTAAATTCTAGAACATCTACTGCATTTTAAAACATCATAAAATGAGATATCAAATCTTAATGGTCACAAATATTCAATGTCCTTTTTTTCCACCTAGATATTCCAGTATCAAAGCAAAAAAAAAAAAAGTGCATATTTAAAAAATAAAATAATAAAAAATTGTTTCAAGAGCATATAATTTTTTTTTTTTTTTTAAATTTGACTTTGAAAACAGAAAATGGCTCCAAGGAACAGATACATTGCCACAGGGTTTATCTATATACAGCAAAATCTAATTTTGACACTCAGCCACATTCAACTTTGTTTAATGGCAGTTTTTTGTTAATGGAGCGTTTTATGAATGACAATCAGACCCACTCTACCTTGGCAAAACACATTTCTTGGCATTACTGTATTCGCTCCTCTCCACTCCCCAGTTGTCCCTTAGAATACATCAAATGTGTAAAAAAGGAAAAGGCAAAAACAGTGGACATGAATAAATGATTGTGACGTTGCACATACTAGAACTGAATCCTGGATATTCTAAAATGGTTTGTCTGGTATTAAACCAAAATAGTTATCCTAATCAGTTACATTCATTCCAACGGATATTCAATCCTGTCTTGCTAACTTACTCTTACTACAGAAAGTCTCCCTACAACAGTATAATAGATGTATAGTAATTTAAACAGCTTACAGTTTCAAGCATGGTGGATTTCTATTCTATTTGTAAGTTACATTCCTAATTAATTTGGCCAAATCATGATTGTAAAAGAACAATAAACCTCCCAAAAACACACTCAACAACAAAAGACTCCATAGCAAATGCTCCAAAAATAAATGTACCACATACAGTTATTATTAAAAAATAGTATTTCAAGGAGTACCACTGTATTTAATACTGATGAAGCAAAGTTGCCACAGTAATATCTTTGCTTCTTCCTGGTTATATACATATCTGTTCTTTCAGCGTAAATCTAGCTTCTCAGATGACACGAGCAAAAATTAATCTTATTAAAGTCAAGAATGCCAGTTTGAAATTGTGTTAAGTGGCAAATACAAATTCATGTAACTAAAGATACAAAAACACTCAATGAAGCATTGCTTTAAGACAAAACAATGTTGATCATTCAACTGATCATAACAAGCAGATACTACAAAGTATCTAAAAATAATCTGGGATAGTCCAGATATCTAAAGTGCTTTGAGTGATTATAAGAGATTATTTATTAGATTTGTAGTCAAAAGGTGAGCTGGACCTAGTTATTACTTTTTATTTAAAAAGGTAAGATTATACATGGGATGATGTAAATTGATCAGTACTTAACCACAATCAGATCACATTTAAATTTTTCTGTTTGTAGGCAAACTTGTTTAAAAAGAATGTTGCTACCCTGCATTTCTTTTTAGATTAAGAAAAACTATGTACCTTAAAAATCCTAAGGAAAATAGATAGTGGTCTAATGTCACTCCATATACTATACTCACCCCAAATGTAAACAAGAGGTACAACATAAATTCCCTGATTTCTTCTTTAGTACTTAAAAACATTACTAACACTGGTATCTGCTGTCCAGATTATTTGCAGCATACTGCACAATTTTGTAAGACTTCAGATATAGATAAATGAAGTCATGACACCACCTAATACAAGAAAAAAAGTCAAATGAATTGAGTGTGAAGCTTCAAATCTTTCCCATATCATAGTATCTTGGGATTTCTATTTCAAGATCTGTATCTGCAGGGCAGGCACTCATGGTAAACTCATGCAAGTTTGAAGTGTATGTATTGAGAGATGTCATCCAACCAACAAGTGCCATGTGGATTTTCTTCCATTACAAAGCTTATTTGTTTAGAAGTTCTTCCCGATAAGACAACAATGGCAAAACAATATTTAGATTTATTCACACCTGTTAATCCAAGAACCTGGAACTTCCAAGTTCTTCAGCAAAAGGAAAATAAACTTAAGACCAAATTTCCAAGTAGACATTTTTCTATTAAATATTAAATAGATTGTCAACACAACTAACATTTATGTTCATTCTTAAATACTTTGTAAAAAGGCATATAATGATTAAAAAAACAAACAAACAAAACAAAACAACCAAGAATATTTCCAGTTTCTTTTTTCATCCAAGTGTGCTGCAGTTTGTTCTGGTTAGGAAACTTTTCCAACAATCGGATTTTCTCTGGAAAAAATAAAATACTATATTTAAATATTTTAAGGTTAACACTAGCTTTTAAGTTCTCATCATATAATTTTAATTTATTAATAAAAACTGTATGTTTTTTGCGTAAGTTTTACCACTACTTAAGAAATTTTAGGTTTTGTGGAAAACCATGTACTTTCATGTGAGACCTCTAAATCAGTTAACTCTCCTTACCAACTTGAGTTGATACTAAATTAGGCAAAACCAAATCATTCTTTGTTTGTTTTTTTTTTTTTTCAGGTGAATCAAGCCTTACTGATGCAACAAAAAATCAGAAACTGCTTTGGAACAACAATGCACTTGAAAGAACCAGTTAATTTTTTTGTTGGTGGTTTTTGGTTGGTTTGGGTTTTCTTCCTTCCAACTTCACCAGAAATATTATTTATCATTGAGAATGGCAAGTGAATTACAATTAATGTATTAGTTAATATACTGCATTAAAGATATGTTCCTGCAGTGTAATTTTTGCAGTTTTATGTAACTTGGTATTTTAACTGTTTCTTAGCTGAAATTTGAAATTTTGGAAAGAAGAAAAACAAAACCAAACCCAGAGGACAGGAAGACAGGGGTAAATTTTATGTGCACTTCAAATATTAAGTTGCAAGGGAACAACATAATCATTGTATCAGCTTATGGGAATCTCAACAGGAACACAGGTGAATCCTATACCAGAGGAACTTCTTTTATCTTCTAATAATTGCTAAAATATTTGCGTTACTAAAAATTATGTACCCTATTTTCTCCATGTCTTTGTGTTGTCTAAATGTACTGTTAGCTTAATTATCTTTATCTAAGCAAGCCTGGATTTGTTGTGTGAATTTTTCTTTTTTTTTTTTAAAAAAACCCACATTTATGTACATCAAATCACACAAGATACTTACTCACTCCCATATTTAGCACTAGACGATCTCTTCTTTCGGTATTTTTCATGTGATTCACTCAGCTTTTCTATGATATCTATTATCTGTTTAAGTGTGTGAAAAGTTGCTACAGAATCTTCAATTGTGAAGTTAGAATAATCATCCGGTTCTTTCCGTGGACCCTGATAGACTGCTATACTTCCGCAAGCCTCTACAAAAATTACCACAATTATCGCAGTTAGAATTTTGATAATTAACAAACAAATCTGTTACGTAAATGGTGATTCTAGAATTCTAATATATAAACTTACTCTAACTTATGCATAAAATGGGTTAAGACAAAAGCAGGAGACAGTGTCAACTAGATGTATTTACAGTGCTGTGGCTTATTCTCTGCTGGTTGCATTCAGCATCTTGAGCATCCAGTTCTCTCCTGTTCACATTAACAGAAGACTAATGTTTTCTTGAAACTCAACCACATTCAACAGAATTCACTCCATAGTCAGAAAAAGGAGAGCAAAGACAGAAGAGCAACTACCTACAGTTGCAGCCTCCCTGCTTAGGCTATTAGATATATTTCATATATACAAATTCAATTAAAACAATGTGCGTACCTTATGTCTACTGTAAAGAAATGACTGACCAATGTCTGATACCAGAGCAATAAAATAACAGAAATATAATCTGTGTCTCTACTCTCTATTATTTTCAGGTAAGTTGTTAAGACATCAAATTGATGTTATAGGCCTAAAGAATAAGAGCTGAGCAGCATCAGTATTAATTCTTCTGAATTACTATTTGAGTACCTTCCAGCTTCTGTAGTTTAGACATGTTGATAGTAAAAAGTGAGTAAATTCTTTCTGTCTCTCTGTCGCCATCAATCTCAATCTGAGTATCAGCAGGAACATCTCTAAAAGGCAAAAAAAAGAGGCAAGTAGTCAATATAAGTTACTCCTGAAAGCAAATGAAAACTAATTCTGTGTCAATATACTTAGCCTTTTAATAAGTCTGTCACTCAGAGACAGCTTCACAATAGCTACACAAAACAGCATTCATTGCAAGTGTTCTATAAGAACAGGCACATACAGTTTTGAGAGCAATGAATACAGCAATACTAAAAGTCACTTTTTAACCAACATAATTCATTATTCCATATGTTGAGATAAAAATAGCTCAGAAATATCAAAGTAAGGTTAATGGCCATTAAATTACAACTAAACACTTAAAAAAAAAATCTACTATATCAGAAGGACAAGATACATTCCTAAACCAGAATAGCTAAATAAAAAAAAACAAAAACCCAACCAACCTACCAAAAAAAAAAAACAGAAAAAAAAACCTAACCAAAAGTTATTTAGTAATGTGAATCTTTTGAACTGTTGAGAAATGTAATAAAAGAATGAACTGAGTAACATGGAAAAAGTATTATAAAAGTTCTCTGAAAGTCATCTAGACTGAAACTTAGACGATTGAGATCTTCAGTCTGTAATTTATGCAAACTATCCAGTGAAGGGTAAATTTATTTAAATATCAGATTATTTGTTTGTTTTCAGAAATCAACAGTTTAAAAGGCATTATTCCTTGTAAGACATTATTCATTTTCCTGACATACCTACAAAACCCAAATGATTTTGTCAGAATCTACATCTAAGATTTAGTCAATTTTCTTAGTACATTATGTTTTAAAATATGTAAGGTTAAAATAAAAAGTGACTGCATAGACCAGACAATATCATTAAGGAAAGAGAGATACTTCCAGGCTGACCCCTCTGCAGCAAGGTATTTCAATTATTTTATGCAGATGATCTAGGCGTGTCATATTTCTGCATTCAACTTGGCATCTGAATACTTCGACTACTAAATCTATCATTCTGCATGAAAAGAAACCAATATTCAATATTTCTGATTTACATGCTGAATTGGTTACCTTCTTTTCATATGGTGACTGATGAAGCAATTGACTTAGTAAAATCCAGTAGGATGTGCCTATTACTAATAGCTGTTTTTAGTAGCAGAACTTGCTAAAGTAAACAGGAAAAGCTTTGCCTTCAGATTTTCAAGTTGTATAGTGAATCATACATTATTTGTCCTACAAAACATGTATATTTTCGTTTGAGAAGCAACTTACGCAGTGCAAGGAGCACAGCCAACTGTGTTCTCTATTGTAGCCTTGCAGCAAAGCCAGTTCCCATTCAGGAAAGCAGAAGGATGGTAAAAACTAAGCCGCTTCTGGTTTGACCTCGTTACCCGGCAAAGAGCTTCTATCCATTCACTAGCTTCTACACAGTTATTTGCTTGGATATAGAGAGGCTTTTCTCCATGTAGTATTTGAAACATCTGTAGAAGAAACACAAGATTATTCTACTCAGTAAAAAAAAATCTGGTTATTTAAAGGCAAAAATGTATTTCAAAGCTCAAGGAATTCAACAAGGCCAAATAAAGACAGAAAGCAAGACATGGGAGAAAGGAAAGAAGACTTCACCTCTTTCAATTCACTACAAAGCCCTAGGAAAATACCAAGCAAAACCAAACAAAAAACTAACAAGCACACGCACAAACCAACAAAAAACGCTGCCCAAACACACCAAGCAAAACAGAAACCTGTGTTCCACCTACACCATTTCCTCATCCAACAAATAACCCTTAAACAATTAGAACATAATGCATTTTCTGTCCTTTTCATTCACATATCTTTAAAATGTGACCTCAGACTTTATGCTTCATATCGTTAGAGTGACTGAAGGTTTTCAGAATTCTCTCCTACCATTCACAGCCTAAGTAACAGCTGTACTTTTATCACTGCCTCAGAATTTTGGACTGAAGTAATAGTAGAAATACTGATGTGTTACAGGTCCAGAATAAGTCTGTGAGCACAGACAAACTGTCTCAGCTGAGGAAGGTATTACAAGAAGTTCTTATCAAAATGAATAAATATGAGTTCAGTAATACCCCATTTCTAGTAGAACATACTACAATCCATACTACTAATATCTTACATAAAAGTGCTTCGAAAAAATGTCACAGAAGTTTTAACTTTCATTCCAGATATTTAAAAACAGGGCAGAAGTCATAAAATTAGTCACAACAACTGGTGCAGAGATCCATGTTCACAGTACTTGGAAATACTGCATACAGCTTTTTATCCCAGATCCAAACCAGATTTTTTTCTGAAGTGTTTAGTAACAGGGTTTTAGTAATTCTAAGTTAATTACAAACTTCTTTAAAGAATACATCAAAAATTGTGTATAAATTCTTTTGACTTACATTTTTCTTGTTGAAGGAGTTCTCATCAAGTTTCTCCACTGCAAGGATGTTTTTGATTGGAATAGTGAAAATTGGTTCTTTATCTGTAAAAAATTGTAAACAGATGAGTGAAACTATTTTTAACAAGCTTTTATAACTTATGGTATCAGTGCCCTGAGGTTAAGTTCTCAAAACGTTCAGTTTTATTACTGAGGAAATGTATGTGAGTCATAGGCAGAAGCATTTGGTAATCAAGGCAAAGGTAAGTAAAATGTGTTCTATGTACCTCAGGAAAAGAAAAACAATTATCCATTTTAAAAAGCATAAATCAGATGCAAACACTTTGAAAATATTGAGGAAATAAAAATAATTGTAAAGAAAACATAATGTACCTTGCTGTTTGTGGTAGGTGAATTCTCTACTTGTTAGACAGAACCACCGCTTCTTGAAATTCTTTTTACCAATCCGAGTCCTTCCCTGAGCTCTTTTGTACATTTCTCTGTCAAGGCAGAATCAAATGAAATGCAACCATTAAACTTCTGAAAAGCATTCAAAACCATTTATTGAAAAAACATATTATTGTTCATCATGCATCAATATAAAAATCTGCTTCTCTGTAGATTAAAAGAATAATCTACTAATTATTCAAAATAGATCCTCAAGATTACTTCCCAACATGGTGTTGGTGTGCAGGGTTCTGTAAACAGGAAAGGAGTTTGAAAAATATGCAAACCACACTCTTGTTCATAGCAGTAACTTTGGAGTGGGTACTTATTTATTTAGGTCCAGAACTCCAAAATTTCCCAAAACGGATTAAGGTGTACCCAACTACAAGGTTTTCTTTTTCCTGCTACTTTCTACATGGGCCTTATCTGGATCAGAAACTGAATATAAATGAAATTATGCTGAACACAGCATGGGAAGGCATAAAATGTATTCAGTACACTTCAAGTATACTCACTGAAAACAACTTTTTTTTGAGTGACAACCATCAGTTTAATCAAGATTAGCTTCCAAATTGCTACAACTAAGTGCTGAGCCGCTACTACAACCTTCATTTCTATTTAGTATTTTAGTTAGAGGAATATTTCTTCCTTGTTTGAAATCTGGATGCTTCTTTCACAGAAAAATCTTTACCTCCTAATAATCTGCTTCTCAGGTAAATTAAAGGAATAATAATAAATTTTCCCCATAAATGCTGTTTGAATTAAGTAATCAGCTATTCCTGATCGACATTTTAAAAAAAGGGGGGGGGGGATTTTTTGGAAAGAATTACTTTAACCTCATTTTTTTATAAAAGCATTCTATCATTTACAGTTAAATATTCCAATTAAAGGGTAATTTTTCCACCTACTTTAAAGGCAGAACATTTAGCTGGCTGGGCTCCAACAGAATGAGAAGTAATTCTAAATTAAATTAGTATATTCTTTTAAAGAACAATTTCACAGTCCTGAATAAACCACCACAGAGCACAAACTGAACTGTAACAGAAATGCAGACAGACTTTAATAGGTTTTATGCTGCTTTTAATTACTTTTTTCCGATGTATCTAAAAGAGTTAAGTTGGTTAAAGTATTTCGTCAAGCTGACACAGAATTACCACAAGTTACAAACATCACAATTTATGCAGTATACCAAGCATTTTAATGAGCATTAATCTGACAGCATTAATAAAAAAACCAATTAAGTCAATTCTGTTCTGCCTGACATAGATTAAACATGTATTTACCCTTCCTTTAGATGTACTGGCTCGCTCAGACCACTGGGCTCTTTGCTTTCAGTAGAGGAAACATCATCTAGGAACTTAATTAAAAATACTATTCAGAATCACAACCAAAAGCTGTTTTGAAAATATGTATGTACAGTCTCTCCTGGAACAAAGTAATTACTTTATGCAACAGGTAGAAGGAAAATACATTGCAGGGACTAGAAATGATGTAACAAGGGATGCCCATAAGCAGCTCTAATAACTTTTGCTTCTTTTTTTTTTAACTAAGTTAACTTAGTTCACTAGGTATAACTCTTGTGTTTCAAATGTGTAGATTTTGTTTGGGGTTTGTTTAATAAAAGAGTCCGAAATGAATCACAGTTTTTCCCTCTAGTATTAAACTGAGCAGTAACACAACCTTCTAATAATTAAGGCTGATCAAATATGTAAAAACAATTTAGTTGAAGGTACCTTTTTAACTGATTCAGTAAATTTTTCTTCTTGAAATGTTTTGAAGAACTCGCACATAAATGTCTCCTTGAAACTTGACTGAAAGAAAAGGTACATTGACATTAATAAAATCTTTCAAAGAATGTTGTCTATGAAATGAGAAGGAATTTTAGTAATCTTACAAGTTTGCTTTTGGTCAAACTTCCCCAGCTTCCCAAAGTCTGGATGGCTTTTGATATCAGAGTTAATGTTCTAGAAGTCTGTGCATCCTAAAATAAAGAAACAAAATTCAGAAGTCACCTTTTTTCATAATTTTGAGTAAAATTTTGATTAAAAAATTAAAATGTCACAAAAATTACACAATGCAGTAATCAGACATATCTCCATTCCTTTTTTTTCCCCACACACAGAGAGAAATGCATATATAGTATTGTCCCCTACTAGTATTTGTGCTTTGTGAATGTATTTTGTAAGCTACTCAGTGTGTCTAGTATTTTACTCACTACCACTAGACTTTAGTATTAGTAGTTGGATAAACAATTTTACCTATAAAAACATCTCAAACCCCTCAGTCATGTGGCTATTTTAACAAAGCAGCATGTTCCCAGAAAAGGCATAGTATCTTTAATATCAAAAGCACTTCTACATCATCTGAGAACACCTCATAAAGACTGAGAAATTTGCTGCAAATGCCTTAGTTCCTTTGGTGAGGTATAAAACTGAAAACTCAACCTAGATACATTTAGTAATCTTACTTCCCAGCTACAGACCCACTCAAAGTAACTTATGACTTCCCAGATAAACAGATTTCACTATTATAAATAAAACAGAACAAAGCTTCACAAAACTTACTGGATGGTGAGGTCGTAAATGAAAAGTATGAGGTGAGACTACGGCTACAGCAAAGAAACGAAGAAACACAAAGCTGCTCACTGCAGAATACTGCACATGAGGGTCATCTGCAGAGAAAAACCATGAAATGTAACATGCACTAAACTTAACAGGAAATAATGAAGACAGTCAACATAAAAATCTTCAAGAAGGTAACATCAAAGGAGACATTTATATTTAAAAAAAGAATAGAAAAATCAATGAAGCGCATGAAATGAGAAAGGTGAACATGGTAAGAAATGTTCTACTTATAATGGAGGGTTTAATTATCTAAGAAAGTTTTGTTCTCATAAAAATGGCTCATCAGCTCTACTACTACAAACGATGAGAGTATTGTAAGCATTTACACACACGGCCCATGTTCATTAGGTATGGCTGCATGTATATTGAACCAGAAGAGAAAATACTGTAGCAGTTGCCCTTACATGCTAGGACTATTGGGTTTGTTCACCCAATAAAGCTAATTGCTCATTAATCAATGCAAATACATTAATTCTGTGCAACAAATGCAGTCAACCCATATGAACAACTTCAATTTTGAGTTGCAGCATCAACCGGTGGTGTTATACAATTTTGATACTGTAAATGAAGATTTTATCATCTAATATTTCAGGTATGTTTACATTTTTACACTGCTAAATACAGTGGGATCCCATTCTTACTCTAATGACCACTTTGATCTGATCTGTCTGGGAAGTTAGCTATTCTGAAAGGACTGTCTAAACTAGAGGAATATATGACACCAGTTCCAGTGACAAATATGAATTAGAGAAAGGCTCCAGATTGTGAGAAGTATATTCTTCATCTGTAGCTTATTATATGACATTCTGGATTTTAACTGACTGAAGTATAAGAGTATTTCAGATGCACCACATTATTCCTATATTAAAACCACTCTGAAAGAATAAAGCTGTTCTAATACTGGTCACATTACAAACATTAAACTATCCACCCTCCTCAAAACTACCCATAAGCAGTAATGCAATGACGCAATGGCAGTAGTAAAGCTAACCTCATCTAAGTTATCAATGTGCTAGTCACAATTAACAGTTGCAGTTCATGCAGTTAAGATGTAAACACCAAATTTATTTTCAAGCTTACATCTCGCTTCTTCAGAAGCAGTAGAGATCAGCTTTTCCAAATTTTACTCTTTTTTCAACTAAATCCTGATTTACTTGCACTTTTCTTTTAGTATCTCAGATTTCTGTTAGTAACTTCTTTCTTGCTGCTGTCTTGCAGCGTTCCTGACCTGCTACATTTTTGTATCAGAAAACACAAAATTCTTTCTGACTGACCGCAAGGCTTTACTACGACTTACAGACTGACAGAATAAAGTGCCTGATTGTCAAGAACTTCAGGACACAGCTTTGGACAAGGCAAGAATTTTAACAATCCCCATAAGGTAACTGCAGAAGTTAAGTATTTCACTCTGAACACTGTTTTCAGAAGTTTTTAGAGAACACTTACTTGGAAATCTTTTGGCAGCCAGATGCCTCAAACAATAAAAAACATCACACATTAGGGTAGGACAACTTATACTTGACCGCACAATTTCACGGAATACTTTGTCTACATAATAGCGTAGATTTTCCTGCAATTATGAAAAAAGGTATTTTTTCAGACCGTGAACATCTGTATTTATTTCCCTGAACGTAAACATAACACTACAAAGCACTTTTTCAAAGCACTTTTTTGAAAAACACTTTTTCAAAGCACTGCCTGCTTATTCGATTATGTATTTTAGTACAGCCCATATTTAAAAAGCTTCATAATATTTGTAAGGGATTATTAGTGTTGAAACACAGTTTAATGATACTCACACTGAAGTATACAGGCAGTGTCTCGCAATATACAACTATCTATCGAAACCTGGTTTTATCATTTGACAGCAACATGTTACAAAGAAGGAGCACTTCCCATGCATATCTGGTGAATGTTAACTTAGTTTGTTACAGCAACTATTGCCTTAAATGTCATTCTCTGGCAACAGACAAGCAGCATGCAAAACTTCGATGCAAAGTGTTAAAGCAATCCTGATTAAGTACATCATCATCTAGACACTAAGTACAGAACATCAGGAATCACAACAGCCAACAAATTGGCTCAGAAGACTGTACTCCTCTGTTTAGTTTCTCCTCCCTGACATATTCTCTGTTGGACTTTTCCTTTGCTGTATTCATAAACATGGACAAGAAATACAGCTTTCCCTTTGTTTACTCGGGAATCAGAGAATTATACTGCTACCTTTAAATTACTCATTTTTCCATTACAGAGAGCTGCAAATTATTCATTTTTCCATTACAGAGAGCTGCTCTTTAAAATGCTTTTTTCTCAGAACTTGAGAAAGTTTAAATTAGGAAAAACAGATTGGGACACTCACCATATTTATTTCTACATTATCGCCTTCTCTTATTTTGATGGGATCTATTTCACAGGGCTTAGGAGACTCGCATATCTGAAACAAACAAAACTACAGGAATTCAATTTTTCAGACAGAAAGCATGGAAATGCACCTATTTAAAACCATATTCTCTCCTAGATTTGGGGTTAAAACTGTGAATAGGTTCTAACTATCCATAACAGCATGCAATAATCATACCCACTTTTGTGTGTGCCTTTTTATATGGATCAGTTACATAATGTATCATGTTGGTAAATTCTGCAATGTGTTAGAGGCTGGAGCAACTGTCACTGACCATTTTATTTTCAAGCATCTGCAGCATATATAACAAAAAGCAGCTTCTCCCACTTAACCAATTATTGCTCAATTTAACTTTTTTCTGGAATTCCCCTACCTGAATGATTACTGCTACAGAGGGAGCTGGAAGAAGAATGCCTATCAAATAGACAAGATACCCCAGAGGGCTAAGTGTCTGGAAAACAGTTTCAGTAGATTAACCTACCTCATCAATAACAGGTTTCAAAGTAACCTTCAGATAGTGCTTCCCCACTATTTTCATCATTTCATCTACACACCGAGTTGCTAATGAGTTGCCTCTGAAGACTGTGTTTGCTTCTCTGTAAGAAAATAATTGATTTTACTTGAACAGCAAAAAAATAAGCAGCTCAGTTACAAAATCCAATTAATACTTTAGCTTGCCATTAAATAGTTTTGGGGGTTTTTAAAACATATTTCCATATATTTCAGTAAGGAAATAAAGATATCCAAGTTGCAACAGCACTCAGGAGCGGGAAAAAAAAATAAAAAGAATATTATTATAGCTATTAGCAAAACCAGAAACAGAAATAAAACCATAAGGAAAAGCCTAAAAAATTTTAGACAAAGGAAGTTATAATCCAGTGCTGAGTGTGAGAAAGAGCAACTGGAGAAAATTAACAAATAATGGAGACTTGTACCTCACCAATATACAATTCTTCCTCCAGCAGGCTGGTGAAAGGCAATCTCACAGCTACACTAAGTAGGATGCTGCTACACTAACTGATAAACTCAGACACTTTAACCAAAAGTTATTTAATCAAGGTTTATGCTTTTTTTTTACTCATTATAGCTCTTGAAGAAAACAGAGCCAGCTCTCCAAAGTAAATCTTTCTAGTCTGAGAGATTTAATCTTTCTTTGTTACAGTTCAATTATAATAGAAAGGAATGTGTGCACTAAAATGCAGTTCAGAAAATTATTTTCCTCTTTCTACACCATTAAATTGTCTCACCTTATTTAGATCTGGAGAAAGTCAGCTTTGAAATGAACCATCCTGTGGTGACAAAACCCCTTCCACACCTCCAGAGGACATTACTTGGCACCTCAGTGGCCACTACTTGGGTTTACTTCATTTCTGCCCTAACCACAGAGATGTAAATTCACAGGCCATACAGTACTACTTGGAAAAACTCCTGTGCTTGCTACTTTCAAGGCATGCAGGAGGATATGTACTTATGTATTTGCAAGGCATATTTGCAGAATTAAAAAAATACCCCTCATTTCAATCACATACTAAAGGAAACAGGATAAAATTCTTGGCTATTTGAAAAATGCTAAGTACCAATCTGAGGATCAGTAAACTCTGAAGAGTGGCCAAACATTTTAAACTAACAACTGTGTACTCTTAGATACAATTCCAGACTGCTACCTTGTTATATTCAACTGTACTCTAGCTCCAAGAAAATTTTTCCAGACAGCACAAAATCATTAACTCTGACTCCCAGCTTCAATGTCATTTTAATTAATGCTTTTTAGAATCTAGCATTCAAACCCAAATGTATTTAGTCAGGTTTACATAATGAGACAAAGAAATTGACATGTTCACTTAACAATGCTGTATCATTGAAACTCTATAAATAACTTAAAACTCTATAACATTGAAAACTCAAACTCAAAACATTGAAACTCTATAAATAACTTAAACAGGCTTGAGATCACCAGACATGTAATACATACTGGGTGTCTTTCAGATCTAGTTCTGCCACTGCAGCAACAAATGGAACTAGCTTATGGTGGTGTAGCAACAATCGAACAAGAGGCAGAACAGCATCATACTTGTCTCGACAAACTTCACTCAGTATATAGGCAGCAGATGCAGAAATCGGCTGTGAGAAAGAGTATCAAATCATTAGTGAAGTAGTTAAATATTCTTCATGTATTTACCAAATTACAGCTCAAATCTAACAATCTAGACACAGCTGCTTAACAGAAAGTTCCAGCATTTGTTGCATAACATGGCAATTAAGACTTTCCATTCTACAGAAATACTAATTGAAAATTTGTATTATTTACTCTATGCTTGACATTTAATAATAACATTTGGCATTTACTCACCTTTCTAACTCTCCCTAAAAAATCAGAATATGGTTTTGTCACAAATCCAAGTAAGAAGCAGTAAACAATCACTTTACTATAATGGCATATATCTTCACAGGACTATGCCAACTACAATCAGAGCACATTAAAATACAGTTCTCAGTTCTGAAGTGCCTGTTGCCATTCTACAGTTGGTAATTTCAGTTTAAAAAATGATCAAGTGATATCATCTAAGCAAATAAGATTGCCTTTAACTGCCACTAGCTACTTAGCTCTTCCTCAATTCCAGTAGAATATTATTTGAATATCGGCTAGTAAAAATTTTAGTTACAATCTCCTTCCTCTTCACCTTTCTTCCCCTCTGCCAGTACTTCATCAATACTGATGTGACGTAAGGTTATAAAAGAGGTAGGAATATAAAGCCTGCTTACTATGATTTGATTCCTGTCTCACAATATGCTCTTTGACACAATGTCCATGTGAGAAACCCAGTCATGCCAATTAGCATGCTGGGGAAGACAGAAGCCATTCTGAAGTGGAATTAGAAATCAATTCTGAAGCAGACCATTTTTGGTAAAAGTGATTAGCTACCCCTTCAGAGTCAATAATGGATCAATGTTCCTGGAAAACCACTAAATCCATGGGGCCAACAGCAGCCAGTGAGAAAACGTTGAAAAGAGCAGCCAATCAGAAGCAAGTATTATATCCCTTCCAGTCACACAGCACAGGTTATTTCACTATCTCTGCTGGTTCTTCTGACATAAAAAGAAAATCTTGGCAGTTTGGAGCTCTACAAGCTGCTCCTCTGGTTGTGACAGAAGTAATTCATGCAAAGGCACAAAAGAAACATACCTAGATATGCATAATTCACAATATCTCATATAGGACTGCACAACTCACTTTAAGTTTTCATTTTAAAAGAAATTTTCAACACAGTACCTGAACATCTGATGATTTTAGCAGCAAGTTTCTTAGAGAACCGTAGTATTCAGATGGAAGCACACAGTCTTCAGTGTAACAGATATTTAATCTAAGTGACCCCAAATCATCAGTTTTAGAAGACTTGTTTCCATTTTCTCTTGGTTGAAGTAAGTACCTGAAAGCAACAGGACAATTCCAAAATATTAGATTCACATTTCATTAATTTGACTAATTCTACAATAAAGCAAAGTATCACATTTAATTTAGTATATATTAACTGAGTCTGAAAACTGGCAATGGAATCCACATTAAAAAAAAAACCTTGAGACACAAAAGGAAGAAAAGCAGCGGCACTTGTTGCACCTTTACCACAAAATGAAGCATGTATTTCCTCCTATCTTTCCCAACAGTGAAATAGGATATACTTCCTGTAGCTCCACCGGGATAGCAGGAACAGTTAGAAATTATGTTTAGAAAATATGGACCTTCTCATTTTACGTCTAGGTTATATTTAGGGTGTTGGGACATTGCAGATGGAACAGCTAGTGTCAAGTATTTAAACAGTCTAGTTTGAAGCCACTAAAAATACATAACATTAACAGGCTGCATTCCTGAGAAACAAGTAAGATTAAAAGAGAGAAAAATAAGTGCTTTTTTCCCCTATTCTCAATTCAAACTATATTAAGCATTTCTTCATTGGCTTTTGCTGTAGTTCAACTGCATTCCAACAGGAGGTGCAACTCTACAAAAATTTTAACAACTTTTAAGCAGTTTTAACAAATTGAAATAATCTTGATTTTTTTTTTTACAAACATTTATATTTGTACTTCTGCAATAAGGAGCTCAGATGTTTTTTTAATAATCAGTGCATTGCCCATGAGGCCATGCTAACACAAAGTAAAACTGATTTACAAGAACTTCTATTTGACAGCATAAGTCTTAATCTTATTTTCCCAAGATTTAATACTAGTGACACTGTTCTATCTGCTGTACTTCAGCTGAATTAAAAAGCAATTCAAAAAGCTATATGAACACAATACACTAGTAATGCATCCATGCTTATACAAACTTTCTCTTAGTAGGTAAATGGAGAAATGCCATTATGTTAATATGGTCATACAGCTTTTTCTTAGTTCAGAGCACTGGCAGAACAAGTCTGTGTCTGCAATACACCATGTATAAAATAGAAAACAATCACATAAACATTTATTATGTTTAGGATCACATTCAAGCAGTGAGAACAAGACCCAGAGCTCAAATTTGACACATGCAAGACATTTGGAACCTGAGGTGGGTACATTTTGCAGAGCTGAAACGGTTTCTGGCCAAGACATATCCCATTTAGCTCCTATCTGCCTACTCCCTATGCATTTTCTACACAGATATGCAGGGGCTTCCTCCACTCTTCTCTGCACCTAAAGGTTCACTAAAAGCAGAATATTCTACACTCTTTTAGGCATTTGAATCTGTTGCCCTCATCATTTCCTGCTGCTGGCATCAGGGACAGCAAAGGAGCTAGAGACTGGTTCCTGCTTGCAAGAACTTCAGAAGGGAGAGGTATTTCTTTCCCCAGTTCCCTTCATGCCTTACCCTTGCAGCTTTTAAAATTCCAAGCCTGCTCCCCTGAAACAACTTCAGGTTAGTTCCAGATCAGTTTCTGAACCTCCCCAAGGAAGAAAAAAAGGAAAGTCATACTCAATTACTTTAAAATAAACTCTTCATCTATCATTCTGGAATTTACTTGCAAGTGGTGCAATTCTGAGAAGTTTCTGGTTTGCTGGTTAGGCTGAAAAGCATATAGAGATCAAAAAAATCCAGGAAGCTTAGTGAAGGATAGTTACACTCAGTCTTCCCTTTCTTCACTCTCCATGCTTTCCCTCAAACATCACTTCTATTTTGTGGGAGTGGGCAGACTGGGGGAAGAGAAGAGCTAAATGTACCCTCTGTCAAGGTTGACTTACTGAGCAGGGAAGCTCTTTAGAAAGATGTTTTACCTAGACTAGAACAGGAAGACATACTTCAACTTATAGTCAGAATAAAACATTATCCTTTGCAAGACAAGATCTGTAGGACAGCAGCAAATTCACTTCTGAGACACCATTTCTCACCATGCTTGAAAGGAATCATTTCTTAACACCTTCACGGGAACTTTGATTTCTCCTAGAAAGACATCTTGTACCAAATTTCCATTATTCCAAAGGTCAACCCTGAAAATAAGAATACTGTTTAGTTTTTTCTGCCAAAGAGAAATAAAAACCTTCAAGTTAATAATAACTGCCTTACAGCACTAATCCACATGCATACAGGCAGAAAAAGTTAGAAATCTCAGTCCATTCTAAGTAAATCAAGAAGAATCAAACAAGTGGCTTATTATCCCATACAGAACAGAAAGGAAAACAGTGATAGTTAGACTCGCAGACCTTGCATCAGTAAATACAAGTGATACTGGCAACATATATGTATTCTAAGCAGTCTCCACCCACAAAACTGTGCACATTTCTTCTCAGGTAACTTTTTACCAGATGTATTTACATATCCCTATCCAGTCGCTAGAATTTGGCACACTGCAATGCCACATCAACACATGCGCTTTTTTTTTCCAAACAGCAGCTCATATGCTTATGACCTCAAAAGGAATCACAGACTCCAGACATGCACCTTGGGTTTTTTCTATTACTTCTTACCTCTCTGACATTTCTGACAGACAGCAGTTGTTAAGAAGAATAAAAACAAAACAAAAAACAACAAAAGAAAAAACAAAAAACAAAACTAGATTTGTTGGGGCATGACTATTTTTCTAAATATATTTGCATCTATAATGAAATATACAATTCTAATTAAGATTTTCAGGGAGCTAATAGTTAAAAATGCACATACCAAGTTAGTTCTACAATGGCTATTAAAACTAAGCAGCTATAAGCACTAAATTCTTCTTCTGATGCCTGCTAGGAAACGTGCTAGCCTTGAAGACTACGTGTCATTCAGCAGATACGGTGCATATATATGTGTGAGCACAATAAAGAAAATAAATTAGAGCCCAGGGGCTCTCAGCAGTTCTAGCTACACAGTATAAATACAGAGCCACTCTTAAGTGTAAAGTGGCAGAAAAGGGTTCAAAGATCCAACACAAATGTTTCTCCAAAAAGCAACACAAAATTGTAACAATCCCATGAAAAAAAAGGGGGGGGGGCTTTTCCCTCTCTTTTTACTAAACCAGGCAACTACATTTGAAACCATGGACTAGCACCATGTATGTTGTCATCCTCCAGTACAAGTTGTATTACCAGTTCTGACCAAACTAATACATATTAACAGGTGGTCCTCACACCTCTTTTACTCGCAGGCACAGGAAACAAGTTTAGGCTGCTAGATACACTCTATCACTATTTATTTCAAAAAACAAACAAAACACCTTTTATTCAGTAAGAGGCACACTAAAAGATTGAGTAATTTTACATGTTAGAAAGCATCTGATCTACAAGTCTGATCAGCAATTTTCTGTAGTTACAATAAAATACATTTGTTGTCTTGATGACAAACTACTAGGATTTATTAATAATTAAGCACTTTCTAATCTATGTGACTTACCTGACTTCTAATTTCTCAATATCTTCTTCTTCCACCTGAAACTGGGACTTCTTGGTGTAACTGCTGGACCTGGTTACCTGCAAGTAAATTCTTCTTTTTAACTAACTTTTTACTGTTATATCATGGATATCAAAAAACAAAGAAAACCCTCCTTCTTGAACACTGGTAAATCACTACTGTTCCTTCTAAAAAGAAAAAAGTTCAGTTCACCAAACAGCCTTTTGACTAAAAAGCAGGTGAAAAATGGGTTAAAAAATATTTATGGTGGAGCCTGGAGTGGTGGAGCAGCAATCTATAGATCTACTGGGGGGAGGGGGAAGGAGCAAACAAAAATCAACACAACAAAGAAACAAAACAAAAAAACCCAAGAAGCAAATATGACATAAAACTGGCAATAAGTTCTTTGGTTTCAACATCAGCCCCAAGAATGCATTAAAGTTAGTTCTGAGATGTTTTAAGGAAACAACAAATAAGAAGCTCACTCTTCTTGCCCTATACCATCAGTGTAACTTCTTATTTTAATTTTCATCATTTCTGGACTGATTACATTCTCAGTTTAACTCAAACAAATCATAAGTTATCAAGTTATTAGAGTGGTTTGGGTCATGTTTTTACCCTAGTATCATATGTCCTAAGAAATTACATTCAGTATCTTGAGAAGGCCAACTGAAACACATGCCATATGTTGGCACTCTATGCGTAAGTATGAAACAATTTCTGAAGTCCCTCAGCAGGACCAGGATCTATATAAACACAATAAATTATAATGCAGGTGAGGCACATAACAGCTGCACTACTTCCAACTCTTAGCCAAACAGTATAGTATGCTTACATGCAAACGTAGTTTTTATTACAGAGACAAATCAGAGGAAAATTCAAACTTGTAACTTGGTTTCTGTAACTTGGTAACTCACATAGAATTAAAATCAAATAAAAAATAACAAAAAAAAGTCATTTTTAAAATAAAATAATACAATTAGCCTTTATTGGGTACAATCAATTCATTGTTTTATTGAAGTAGTAAGTTGGAGGGGTTTTTAGCTCAGTGTTCTTGAAAATATTTGAATTCCACAGGATAGGTTAAAGTTCCCTCAAAACTCATAATGGCAACAGATGCTGTATAAATTGATTCAGGATAGTCTTCACATGTGCCTATGAGGAAGCTATTTTTCACACAAAATCTAAAGGGAAAGCTATTGTCTGGCAACCCCCAGAAATTTACTTATATTTGAGAGGCTAGTGAAAGCTCTTCAAATTGGCTAAAGAGAGCTTTCTTTCTGTGCTAGGTACTGCTGTGTAGCTTGCTTAAAAATATTTGAAGGAATACATAAAGTAAACAGGCAGAATACCACAAAAAAAGTTACCTCAAAATAAAATGTTTCGTTAAACTGCGGATTGCTTGTTTTCTTCTTTACTTTGGTCTTCTTTTGGTCATTCCTGTTCCAATGTGGTAAAATTTTTTACCATAGACAACTTAAACACACAATTATAAAAACATTCTATTGTCAAGAAAATCCATGCATTAAAGTTAAAACATTTTTGTCATTTTAGAGATCACTTTGATCAATGAAGAAAATCTTAAAATGAGTTAATCTTCACAATATAGTTTGAAAAGTTAAAATTTCAAGTGGTGTATGTAGTTAATTGTGCAGCTGCCCAGCAAAAAGTTTCTATTTCATTTCACAGATGAGTATAACTTACATATATCTAGTAAAATATATCAACAATTTCTAAAGCATTTCAAACTTCAGCCTGCAGACAATTTCTTTAACACTGCTTGCAGGCTACTAACACAGATTTCCTTGTCTTGTTCAACTGCCAATTTCTGTTTTCCCACCCACCCTCTTTTGTTGGGGAAATACCCACTACCTCTTTACAGACAGACGCTTACACCAAGCCACTGAACATTTTGTTTGGGAGCAATCACTGCTAATGCTAAATAGCACAGGGTTAAACAAAACAATTGCTCCTCTCTCCCTTGTGAGATATGTGTGTATATATATATATACACACACACATATATACACACACACACACATTTTTCTTTCACATGTTTTATGAAAGACTACAGTAAAAGGCTATGATAGCATAAAATACTTTCTAAAAGAAACAAATATAAAACGGGGGAAACAGATGCGGGAAAAGAAAAATCAACCTAAACATCAACTGTTTTCAGGTGCTGGCCATATAAATATTCCAGTGATGATACATGAATCACACATGCATGAGATGGGAAAATCTTAACCAGGCACTTCTGTCAGATTTGCACATATATTCCCCTACCAACAGGGTAAATATTCTGTGGGATGAACATTCACTCAGTCCCATCTGTATCACAGGACCGAAACAGGAAATATATGTCAATTTACCTTCTTTGGCAATCAGCACCATGCTTCCTAGGTATAATGGTTAAAACCCTAGTTCTCCTAAAAAAAAACCAGCCAAAACAAAACAAACAAACAAAAAAAAAAAGGACCCACCACCAAAAAAAACAACCTAAAAAAAAAATGTGATCATGTATTACCAAGGAGATAAAAACACGTCCCATTTACTTATAGATTACTCAGGAACAATCCCTCTGAAGTGTTTAAAACACTGAAGTTTGCTAGATGTTCTGGTACTATCTTAAATACCAGAGACAGTAAATGGACTTTGGTTTGATGCTGCAAGAAAGAAACAACTGAAACCTAGCTTATTTTAGATGTTATTGAACATGGAGTTGCAGGTAGTAAATGTGTGGGATATGGGATTTTTCTTAATTGGAAAACCCCAACAGTTATTCAGGATTACTGATCCAAACAAAGGAGACATTTAGACTGTGGGGAGTTTGAATGTAGAATCCTGAAGGTGCTGGCACAGGTAGGTCTCAGCAGAATCCCTGCTCTTGCTTCCTCCCAGTTGCTAAACATTTGCTGCAAAGAAACTCACCCATCAAGGAAAACATGCAATGGATGAAGGTGAGTGAGCAACTGACTGTATCATCCCATACAGAAATTTGACAAAAATTAACAGGAAGCACAGTGTAGACATCAAGAATCCAGGGCAAAACCTGAGTAGAAAGAACTGAGTGACAAGTGGTTCTTGACTAGTGCAGGCCATTCAGAGAGACTAAACATCTTCACAATCTTGAGAATATGCCAGGGAAGGGGAGAATACAATAACAAAGGAAAATGTAACGTATGCAGAAAGCATTTTAAGATTTCCTTTTGTATTTTAAAGTTTTTGCTTAAAATCTATGATTTTCTTTTCCAGTTTAAGATCATAGCATTTTAGATTTATTAGTTTTATTCTAAAATGTTACCTGGAAGGCCCCACAAGAGAGACTGTTGCATAAGGGTCACAATTCTGTCCATTTATAAGAGGCAACCCATGGCACTCCTTTATACTAAAAGGAAAATGGAATCAATAGATCAGTGAAGTAATGGCTTTGGCTTAGAAAAGCAAAACCCTTCCTAAAATCCTTTCCAAAAAGAAGATCTTTTTAAGTCCTGCTGTATTACACAGTTATATACATTGATCCAGCTTAATGTATGTACAGCAAATAGAATGTAACTACAGCTCTCTGGATGGTAATAAAAGGTAATACTCAAATGTACCAGACTTAGGGGGCCCTGTGAGACTAAATTCTTGGAACTGCTTGACAAAAGACATTCCAGTATCATACATGCATGGCAAAATCCTAAGTAAAATGAACTGCTACGTTAGGGGAAACTGCAGACTTACAAATTTGATTTCTCAAGGCACACAGAAAGCTACTGGAACTTGTATTCAAGTATTTTGTTTTGGATAAACTCCATTCTGAGTTGAAGAAGCTGAGAAATGCAAAGTCATATCCTGAAATTATATTTAAAATCAAACATCCAAAACTATTAGTTCATATTCCTAGCACATCTAGGTTCCATCCATACTGTCCAGCCACAAAGAGAAAATCAGTTTACCTTTGAAATAGTGTTTAAAGTTTATTTTCAAACTCTTTTCACAATAGTGCATTATCAGGGTTAACCATCCCTTTTTAAAAATACTGTTTTCTCCATAATTCACACAATAGGTTGTAAGCTGGTGTTTAACAGATACATGGGATGGTTAGAAAGTAATGCTCACAGAGGAAAAGACACATCTTCTAGACCTTTTTTGAAAGCTTGCAAACAGTTTGGATCACCACAAGAGTAACACAGAGCTGGGTCAGCAAGCTGACAAACCTTCAGATTCTGCCCACATCTGAGCATTAACTAAAACCAACTGGAAAAACAAAAGCAAAGCATTTTGTAAAATTACACAGCACAAACCAGACATTCTACTAAAATAATGTGCTAATGCAGCCATGCACACTATGGTGGTTATCAAGTCCAGAAATATTCAGCAGATTACAAAATTTCATAAACAAAACAAGATCTGAATATTATATTCCTGTTCTCTCTTTTAAAAATTGTCTATTTTTAATAATGTATTGCAGGAATTGAACCAAATTAATGCAAGTAAGGTTTGGTTGCCATAATTAGCCAGCCTGAATAACATGTAACTTAAGGAGAGAATGGAGTTTTCTGATCTAAGTTTAGATAAGTAATCAAATAAGTGTTCTAATGCTAACACATGGACTATGAAGTTGTGCAGATAAAGTTACACAGCAGCAACAGTAGCTACACACTGTTGTTAAGTAAATGCTTTCTATGCTGTAGAAAAATAGCATTAAAAGAATAACAAGAGCTGCAAACCCTTAACACAAGTGGGGAAACAAGAGACATTAACAGTCCTGTGCTGCCTCAGAACTCCACCCTCTTTGGAGTATGCATGATTATAAACCAGATGGTATTTCCCCCCCCCAAAAAAAGTCCCTTTGTCTTAGCCAGTTCAGGGAACATTTTGTGCTGAACCACTGCACAATCATTTGTTATTTTTCTTCCAGTTTTCAAGCACATGGCCTTCAGCATTTCAATAATTTTTGAATCACAATGAATCCTACAGTGATTTCAAACCCACCATTTAAATGGGTTTTTGAAATGCCCAGTTTCATCAGCATTAATCGATTCCTCCAACACACACATGACATAGAAGAGTGGCAACAAAATTAAACTGTCTCAACTTTTCAGTCCTTTGGGGTATCTGATTTGAGGCATTTTGTGTCACTAAACATACTACCTCTGCAGCTCCCAGAGCTTTTGGGTTTCAGGTGTGAATGCTAAAGATACCTTTAAGCCAGCCTCAAACTGAATTTCCTAGGAAATTCATAGCAGATAGATCAAGTCAAACTTACCTCCACAGAATTCAACTATTTTAACAAGAACAACACAATTTTTCTCCCTACAGACCCACGTTCCCCAAGCTCCTGAATTTCTCTATAGCAAGCAGATTTAAGTCCTACAGAAAGCAGTTTCTTTTCTGATGTAGGAAGTTTCTCATTCCTTCCCTCATCACTGTATGAATGACCTCCATACTTGACATAATGATCCTGTGGGAAAACGTTTATTGTCGTATCAACAAAAACTGATCACGTTGCCCTACTTTTGCTTACAGAAACAGCTTGTCCCAGCCTCCCTGTCTTCTTACAGCTTAACTGCAACACACACCAAACAAACACTTGTGATTTTCTGCAAGCTGAAAAACATCTTACTTACAACTACACAGCCTTGCAGCAGAATTAGAATCTCCAGATTGCTCATACAGATCTGTTGTTTAAAGCTGATTTCACACTCCAGTCGGTCTCCCTGTGTAGGCAGCTCTAGCATTCCCTTTTCATTTCCTGCTCAAGCCCCACTTCTGCTGCCAGCAAGTAAGGTCTACCTATCTTAGACAGCCTACTTTCTCCAAAATCTCAAAACACAAACAATACTCCAGTTCCCCTGGCCATCAACTCTGAACGTTCCCAAATCTTTCTTTTTCAGACCCATCAGGATCAAGAATTTGTTCCAAATTTCTCTCACCTCCTCCCCTTCTACCTCTCACTCTAAGCTAGCCAGTTATCCCTTAACTCCAGTTACTGTCTGGAGACATATTACCTGACAGCACAGCTAAATCAACTGAACTGCACTGAAATGGTTGATTCTCCTCCTCTTATAACTCCTGACTTGTATATGTGACCTAGAGTGATTCTGTTTAATAACATTACGGAAAGCTATTTAGGTTTTGAGGCAGTTTTCAGTCAGTTTGGCAACCTGAATTAACCTAGTTGTGCACAAGATCACACAAGCTCCAAAGGCTGTGCAAAGCAAGTAGCCATTAAAGGTAGGATACCATTAAATCAACTCAGCACTATCAAACTGAATTGCTACTCCCTAGGGGCTCAATACACAAGACTGAATCACTGCAGATAGTTTTAGGCTACTGAACAGGCAGCCTCCAGCAAACACGTTTAAAATTTTAAGATGTATGAAGTAGCTCAATTAGATGAGACTTAACAGAAGTGGGAAAGTGCCACCTAAGCAAGCTACCAGCTAGCAAATCTTGGGGAATGCTGCCCTTCCCTGAAGAATCAGGCAAAGTGCTAGAACTGCAATCTTCCGCAACAGCAAAAGGAAACACAGACAAAAAAAATCCACCAAAACCAGCAAAAAAACCCTCAAAACACTTTGATCAATTAAAAAAAAAAAAAAAAAAGCAACGAACCAACCAACACTAAATATACTTTCCTATTCTGACAACCATAATACATATATTTCTACCATATGGTAAATGTTTCAGCTTTGACAAATGGTTTCACATATCTAGGCTGGCACAAGCAATTTTCATTGAAAAAGCATAAATGCATAGAGTTTAAAGAAGCAGGCAGGAACTTAAAAGCTGCCTGTATTTTAAACTACTACATCTTTATGTAAAGTGTAAGCAACAGCTAAGAGAAGGACTTCTATTTCTCAATCTACTGATCATTTACTGTGCAGTGTAAGGGACCCTTCAGTTTACATTAATTCTTGCTTCACAACTCAGTAGTTTGTTCTGCAAGAGGGGTTTCATACAGGAAATATGAGCCTTTCACATACAACTGGCATATATTCAGCTCGTAAGATGGAAGTAAGTCCTTAAACTGACACAGCCTGCAATAAACCCCCTCGATGACTGAGGGACTTGACCTCTACCAGTCAAATCAGGCCTCCAAGTGCAGAAACTAAGTAACTGCGACCATTAGGATTTGTCACTTCATGTGAGAAGATGAAGTATAAACAGAACAGTAACAAACTGACAGGTCAATTTAAGATACTACAGTGTATAATTTTTAGAAAAGTAAGTAAAAAAAGGAAGAGACAAGATCTAGCTGCAGTAAGCCATTTCTGGCTTTCAAGTATTTCCACCGTAAATACATAAAACTCTTTGTTTAAGAGCTGAAGTCGTGTTAAACACAGAGCAGGCAAGTAGTACTATCTAACAGCCTAATTTGGCAAGAAACCATTCAAGTATCATCTGCTTCAGCAGCAGCAAATATGCAAACAACAGTCACGCAAACTTGTTTTTACCGATTCCCACAAAGAAAAGCTTTAAGCATCTATTTTTGAAATGTGCTACTATACATGCTGCTGTGGTTTTGAACAAAAGAGCCCACACTGACTCAGCAGTTAATCTCTTGCATTATCTCTTTCCCCTCCTCATTCACACATTAGAAAGGGAAACAACTAGCTCCAGAGACAACACTGTAATTCACAAACAGTATGCGAGTGCATCTGCAGGAAATTTAACAGCAGGTTTCCAATTAATAAAAAATTATGTGTAAAAACAGGGTTTAGCCCACTGTAAGTAGTCTCTAAAACAGCACCTCACCAAAGGAAGATTAACTTTACCCTTGTATTTAAAAAAAAAGTGTAAGCCTTGAAGCTGACTTTTCTCCATGGAAAAATGTTCTTCAGTATCATGTTTTCAGAGCTCTCACACAACCTGAAAGACCTAGCTGGCTTCACAAAGTCCAAACTTCAGGAAACTGGTCACTTAATCTTGTGTTGTGAAAGTTACAGCTACTGTATTTAATCTTTGTAGAATTTCTGTACTCTCAGGGAATACATATTGTGGAAATCCATTAGAAACTTACTTATCCATGGAAGCCAGCACAGGTATCTAGAAATTTCTTATCCTACATAAAACTTAACTGGTGAAGGTTTAAAAGTCTCCCTGCCTCATTCCATTGAGACATTATTAATTTGGACATGAAGTAAAACACATCTCTGAAAGGGAAGTATTACAGCCCATGTGAAGAATTTTATTTTTTTCACTATTTTTTTTTCTTTGTACAGTACTTTTTCAGTTTGGGATAGACTGAGAAGAGGCAGGGACAGAAATATACATCTATGCCTACTGTTTGTCTTTCTTTACTCAGTCACAGCTCTGCAACTTCCTATCTTTCAGCTTTGTTAAAAGGGTTACTGGTACAACTAATTCTCAGGGCCTGGTGACCAACAACACATCAGT